GTCCTGACTTAAGGGTGGTGTGTTTGTTGTCTTTGTGGTATTTTCATATTTTTTTAAAGGTACACTTCCACTTTGCACTAAAGCTCAATATTTTTATTTATTTCTGCTTTTTCTTATAAAATAACACAATTTGATTTGCTTTCAATACAAAGACATGATAGCACATATACGACAAATAAACCTCCTATCTCTCCCTATCGTTAAACTGTTTGTGGAATCGCACAACGTGACATGGACCGCAATGCCTAGGTTCTAACAAACATGTAAATAACATAATATTCACAAATATAGATTAAGCATTATTTGAAAAAATAATATGGACCGTTTACATTTATTTGTGTATATCATTTTAATTCTGCCCTAGAAGCCCATAAATAAGAAGGACTTAAAGATGGTTTGTGATGCGAACATAGGAACAAATAACAGATTTCTAACAGGCTGGTCAACATAATGCATATATCTTTTTGTATGTGTGTCGGTTTTTAACTTCCTATTCCCCCTGCTCTAGTTCCGTCTGGTGGTGAAAACAACTCTGAAGCTGTTGTTGGTGTTAGTGGAATACTCCGAGTCCAACGCCCCACTGCTGATAGATGCCATCACCTCTGTGGAGACCAAGAGAGGTAAACATAAAACAACATCGGACCAGCTGCTGAGCCATTTACTCTCAGTCATTGTTCTGTGAGCTTCTGTCATTTTTTCTTGACAAGATGGACCTACTGTGTGGGAAGGGGTGGTTGGTTAGACACAAAGCTATTCATGTTTTTGTTTCTAATGCATACGTGTCCAGGATGCAAGTCGTGGTCCAATACTATGGAGATCTTGCAAGAGAAGGATGGAGTGGACACGGAGCTGCTGGTGTACGCCATGACCCTCATCAATAAGGTGTCAATGTCTATACTGAATGTTTATATACTTTTTATCATCATTTTCAACCACTCTATATAACTCTGATATGACCACCGGTACTATAAAAGGTGCTTTTCCTTCGCTATTTCCTTATGAATGAAAATGTTTTGTAGTTGTATTCTTCAGTCATGCACAAAATATCCAATTTCAGTGGTAGTGTTTCAGGGATTTTTCCCATCATGACAGAAATGACTAAATATAATAAGAGCATTGTTTCTGAAACCGCGACACAAACAACACCGCTGCCTGTTTGGCTCTCGTCTCATTACAAGGTGGAGCATTCAATGTATTCAGGTTCCTGCTGTGCGGACTGAGGCTGGGAAAAGGAGTCTTTTTTATTATGGTCCTTGGTCTTGGAATGACCTTCAATCACGCCTCAAACTGACGGCACTTGTCTCTATAGCATGTTTTAAATTGAAGTTGTCTTTTGTTTTCTTAGTTATGTTCTCTGTATTTTATATGTTTGTGTTTTGTGTAACGTTGCTGCCTTCTTGGCCAGGTCAGCATTGCAAGTGAGATTATATCTCAATGCTTTTATCTGGTTGAATAAAGGTTCAATAATTTATTTTGGATTCTAATAGACTTTAGATTGCACGTTAATGAGAAAGTTTATCTCTGGACAAAGTCAATTGTTGGCACTGTTACTATTTCTCTTTATTTAGCTTACTCATGTAAAGTTAAATTAGAAAGCTCACCAAGTTAATGTGCTTGAAGTTCCTGAAATAAAACATATTGAGCTTTGAACAGAACCGTGAACTGGGAGAATGTGTACATCCCTTCTGAATATGCAATATTTCAACATATAGCAGCCAAAACCTCTGATACAATTCGACTCATCGGTCTCCTTTTTCTTCTGGTAGACGCTGGCTGCACTGCCTGATCAGGACTCATTTTACGACATGGTGGATGGTCTTGAGGAACAGGGCATAGACACAGTGTCCCAAAGACATCTGGGCCGGAGAGGAACTGATCTGGATTTGGTTGAGCAGCTCAACATCTATGAGGTTTGTAAAACACTTAGTCAAAAGATAACAGGGAAAATATTGCAAGCTGATATTTGCCTTTCATCAGATACCAGCCAGTGAGTGCTGCTTACATCCAGTATTTCTAATGAATGTATAGCACATTTGGTTCATGCTAAAGTTCTGAAGCACCCTTTATGACTCCCGCTTCAGATGACCCTACGGCATGAAGACGGGGACGATGACAGCCAGCCTCCACCAATGGGACGCCGGGACCGCCGACGAGTCAGCCTTGGGTGCGGGGACAAAAAGCACGGCCTGGAGAGGAGGCGGAGCCGCAGGGCCTCTCTGGGGCGATCAGGCCAAGCCTCCCCCTGCAGCCCCGCGTCCCCACAGAGAGGCCTGCAGTCAGTCTATGGACAGAGAGCCGAGGACATGAGCGAGAGGTGAGATAAGGCTCACAAGTAAAAGTGCACTTTAAAGGTCACCTATTATGCAAAATCTACTTGTTCATGTCTCTTCTACATCAACATGTGTCCCCTCTGTGTAAAGAGATTCTGAAAGTTTCAGGAACAAAGATTCTCTCTCTTTTTGTCCTGATCCATTTCTATAAAAACCTGTCTGAAAATGAGCTGATCAGATTTTGGCCACTTTATGATGTCATAACGATGTTTTGGCTTGTGTAACCATTAGCCAATCAGCAACCAAGGTAACCCCCCCCACCCCCCTTATCACCTGAATCTCCTCCTAGAGCACCATTGAGTTCTTTTTAACCAAATATCTCTCAGAGGGGCGTGGGGAGGGGCTCCTTATTTTCATCTAAAGTAACAGACAGAGAATCAGCTATTTGGAAACAAGGCTGAAACAGAAGGGATTATGGGTAATGCTGCAATGATCTGTTTGGTGTTTGGAGCCAAACACTTTAGAGACAGGTTCTGTATATATCTGAGACCTGTAATATATTGCAGAGCGCATGGCCGACTCATTGGCCGGGTTAAAGTTCGTTGACCATATACTGTAGTAGTTTCACCTGGTTTTAGACCTAGCCGAGTAAGAAGTCTGTCCAAAAATATCTATTACCTAGTCCTGTTTTTCTCTCTTAGACGGAGTGAAGAAAGAAGGGACTTTTGAAAGTGTTGTCTCTTCAGGAGGTGAGAATAATACGTGTCTACTTCCGCTAGTGTGTATACGGAACCTAGCTATAGCTGTCTCTGTACTATCGGAATATACTACACACCTGATGTACACAACAACATTCCGGCCCATACCCCAAGAATAGAGGAGAGGGAGTCAGCCTGCTCCCTGTCAGATGCTTGGTTTAAGAGTAATAGCCGGGCTTTGTTATTTCATAAGCAAAGGTAGTAGTAAAACCAGTTTGTTCGAACCTTATTAAATTTCCCAGAAGGATAATATGCNTGAAACAGAAGGGATTATGGGTAATGCTGCAATGATCTGTTTGGTGTTTGGAGCCAAACACTTTAGAGACAGGTTCTGTATATATCTGAGACCTGTAATATATTGATGAAAAGCAGTATGATAGGGGACCTTTAAGAAAGTCAGTAGGTGTTTGTTTAACAAGGTATAAACAAAGATTGATGCTAAATATTTAGTGATCACCTGTTACCTTACCTGAGCCCAAGGATGCAGTTCTGACTGTCTGTACCGAATCATTCTGCTCCAGAGCACTTTCAGGTTTCCTTCAATCCATGTAAGTCCAAAGGTCTTTGCAAAAAAGTCCAGCAGCTGTGACCTTATGCTTAATTCCCACTACCGCTGCTCCTCACCTAACAGCTCCCGGGTCACATAAAAAACTCTTGAGTGTTTTTTGAATTCTACTTATTAAACACTTGTTCAGATAAAAGAGCTATCCCCAGCTGCACAAGCCTTTCGGGGATTGCAATTCTAATACAAGCTTACACGTTATTAAACCAGCACAGGCTTATTTCAGTGCTGTGTGTGCGCACCAAAAAGAGAATGAGGAGCTGGCTGTAGCTGGACTCAGGTAAACCTTTGTTACTCTCTATGTCCTCCCTTCATGTCTTTATCCTGTCAGTGTGTAACGTTACATAAGCAGATTAGCTCGTATTATTCAATTCAACTTTACTCTCCCTCTAGGGGAAATTAAACTTGCAGCAGAGCACAAATAAACAACATCCTAAAACACAGAACGATACAACAATAACAGAAACGTCTCTCGCATATTGTTCATTGAATGGGATGATGGGTGGAAGTTGTTTAAGTTCTGACATTACCGGTATCGGCAGCACCACTCAAAACACACACACACACACACACACACACACACACACACACACACACACACACACACACACACACACACACACACACACACACACACACACGGTTCTGGTCTTGTGGAACCTGGGAGCACGTGTCGACTCGACTGCAACAACAAACATCTTGTTTCTCCAGATGAGGCTGTTTGGTGACACTGATCCCAAGTCAGTTCTCCAGCGTCACCTTTTTCTCCTCCTGCCCTCCTTCCCCTCTTCCTTTCCATCATATCTTGTGTACTTGTGCAAGTTATCTAACTGGAGGCATGGAGTTTGTAACGGGAAACATTCATCCCCTTTCTACCATGTTGTCTTTTGTCTTGATCCTTTTGTTTTTCTACTGTATCTCTGTCTGATGTCATGTCCTTGTTTTTTGTCTTTCAGCATCATACACTTTTGTATAGTTTGAATAGTAGACAGCAACTAATGATTATTTCCATTATTGATTTTGACCATTTTAGAGATTAGATTAATTTATTAGATTAATTGTTTGGGCTCTAAAACTTCAGAAAAGTGTGAAGAATGTTCATCACGGTTTCTCGAAGTCAAAGCTAATGTTTTTAAAAGTCTTGGTTCTTTCCTAAGCAAAGTGTTCAAAATATGGAAATCAAATGTTTTCATATTTGAGAGACTGCAACTGAATAATCTTTCATTTGTTTTAATCTCTTAAAAAAAGAGAGTGTTGCAGCTCAGATTTTTTGTTGTGCAGCTTTAATAATTATTTCTCATTTAACCCCTCGATCTCTCTCTTTACCATTTCCTCTGTTCCATCTCTTTATTTCTTAAAAAACATGTTGATTTCCATGTGCCTGCTTCTCTTTTGTATTGCCTCAATTCTCCCTCAACCCTTCCCTTAAATACACCCATACATCCACCCCACCCCCCCTGCCTCCACAGAGAGGAGGAATGTGAGGGTGAGATAGAGGAGGAGGAAGTGGAGGAAGAAACTCCAGAGACTGAATCTGACTCGGATGAGCCAAAGGGGGCTGATTCAGTGTCTAAACTGAGCACCCTCAGGTATTTTAGGAAATGATGGTAACATGAGAATAAGTAACATCCAGCGGTTTTGTAATAAACAATATCTAGGGGGTTTATATCACAGTTTTGGGTTGTTTTGATCTCCTGGGGGCCTATGTACGTTAAAGGGGATAGTTCTAATGTTTGAAGTGGGGTCGTATGAGGAACTTATTCGTTGTCAGTGTATACATGCAGAAGATAGTGGCTGGCACGCCCCCAGTTTGGACAAGACAGGAGTACCAGAACTACAGCTAAGCAATGGAGCAAGAGCAGTAGCAAACATATTTTATTCACCTTTGAAAACAACGTAACCAAAATATCATGATAAGTTAGTGTTTACTCTTTATTGGGATGTCTTCACCACTTGCTGTCAGACATGCCTGAACCTGAACCTGAAGTAACTGCAGCTGTTTTATCCATCCCAGAATCAGAATACCTTTATTAGTCCCACGGAGGGGACATTTGCGTAGTTACAGCAGGAAAAAGAGCCACAGACAGCTTAATGTTACATGTGTTGAATATGTGACGTGCATTAAAAAAACGAAGTTATGATATAATAAAAGAATATAATAAAAAATAAAAAGTTACATAATAAAAAAAAATACACATCCTGTAACAGTTCTGAGGATTTAGCAGCCAGGTATATATTACACAGTTATTAACGGCATCTATATATATTGCACATCTAGCACATATTGCACCTAGGTGGTTGGTATTTAGCAGCAAGGGGTGATATAGTCTGTGTTGTGGAGTGTGCTCTTTTCAAAGCCACCAGACTTGTATCTGCATTTATCTTGCAGAACACATAAGTCACTAGTGTTCCATTGCCTTGATTCGTTTTTTTTTTTTTTGTGTTAATATCTGACTTTCGATATTTTGGATTCACAAAAGTACCAAGTCTCAAGCGATGGATGTATTTTCTCCTGTGATGTAACTCCTGTCTGTTTCTCCAAACTGAGGGCCTGCCGACCCAAGATCAAAGGGAAAGCACCTAATACAATCCCTCTTAAAACAATCCGAACTTTCCCTTTAAGTCTCCCAGGGGAACATATGGTATTGCTTCTATTTCATTTGCCAAGTTTCATCAATGTATTCCTCTCGATCCATTCCTCTGTTCCTAGCCCCGCCACACATCTTCCATCTACAGCTCGCCGATCCACCGTGCAGTCCATCACCATCACTTCCAGGAAGGAGAGTCTAAGAGAAGAGGAGCAGAGGAATCGGACTGATCCACCCGCTATCCACCCCCCCATTACCCCCACCTTATCTCCTCCCGTGTCCTCCCCTCTCAGCCCCCCCGCCCCACCCTCCCTCCTGGCCTCCCTGCTGGCCAGGAAGAGGCCCATCGTCACTGTCCCGGCCACCAAGGAGGTCAGCCCGCCATCGCGCGGCAGCTCCCGCCCCTCCCCCGAACGCATGCCCTACCTGCCCCACTCACCCTTCCACCTCTTCTCCTACGACCTCGATGAGGAGCCGTCGCCCCCGGCTCCACCCAAACCCAGCGAGGAGTCACCCAAAACAACAACGTCTCCCAGGTCAGGCGGACAGCAGAACTCGACCTCCCTCGAGTTCAAGAAGCACAGAAAACTGCTTTTTCAATTCTCACTTTTATCCTTGCACCAGCTTGGTCTCTTGGCACCACGTTTGTTTTTCATCACCTTCCCTTCTTTGACTGCACAGCTTCTCACCTTCAGCCTATCAACGCTCTTGTTATCACTTATTGTTTCTTCACATTTCTTTTTCTTAGTTCTGTCAACGCGTGGATAGGCCACACTTTGTTTCCCTTTGTCACAGCTTTTCACGCCTTTTCAACCACACCTCTAGTACAGCACCTTTATTTCTGTATAATCTTTCTTTGCTTCTTTGTATGATCATTTTCTGCATTTTCTAAACTTCACTTTTTGTATTCCTGTGTGAGATGTTTAGCCTAAACTTATTTTGCTTGTTATTATTCGATATTCAAATGCTTAGATCTAAAGTCCTGTTTGCTAATTTTTATATTCTGTTATTTTCGTCTTGTTCCAAACACTTAAATAACATAGCTTCAAAAAATATATTCACTTGAGCAAAAGTTATTTTCAGTTTCACAGCGGACTGTAAATGAAGTGAGACACCTTTCTGGAATTGTCCACAAACATAAGCAGATAAACACCACAGCAGTTATAAATACATTCGGATCACTTTAGTGTCGCACACACAGCATTCCTGTTATGTAACACAGGCTTCATTTCTCGCCACCAGCTCTGCGCTGGTCAATGATGCACTGGCGGGTTCACTTACTGTCAACTACTTTCTCTTTCCTCCAGGAATGGCGGTCTCTCGTCCTATTCCTCTCTCAGCACCCCAAGCACGCCCACAACCTCCAGGTGAGAGCCTCCACATGAAACAGTGTTAATTTTGGCAGCTGTTTTTGATTTAGTCTTAGTCTTTAGACGAAAATGGTTATTAGTTTTAGTCACATTTTAGTCATTCCTATCCTTCGTAGTTTTAGTCGACGAAAACTCAAAACGTTTTAGTCGATAAAAAATTACATTTTAGTCAACTTTTAGTCAAAATGTGTCTCTATACTCTCTGAACGCTCCGTCCCCGGCAGATCTCTGTGTCCGCTGCAGCATGTCTGTTAGGCCCCGCCCCCCGCACACAGAGAGACACAGGGAGATCGCTCTTCTGGAGTGAAGAGAGCGGAAATAATGATATTGCAAGTTAGAAACGTAAGATGCATTTTGACAGACAAGATGGACACTTGGGGGAAAATATGCTGCATTTTGCATTTCCGATAGTCCACCATTAACACCTTAGTCCCTTCTCGTCTCGTCAACGAAAACTAAATATACATTTTTTTTCGTTATCAAGAATCTATTTTTAGCTCGTCATCGTCTCGTCTTTGTCATGTAAAAAAGGTTGTTGACGAACATTTTTCGTCATAGTTTTCGTTGACGAAATTAACACTGACATGAAAGCATGCTTAAAATACACACACGAGCACTCTAAAGGTAAACATGCAACTACATCTTCACATGTGTTTGCAGGACCAAACATAAACACACTCACGTGTAACAAGTGTGGACTGTGCAGCCATGTGGTGAATTCATGGCCATGACGTACTGAAGGGAAAGTGATCTCAGCTCTCTGGTCCCCTTTTTACTAAGCAGCTGCTCCTACTTCCTCCATGGGGAATACAATCATTAAAACATAACTGATGGCGTGTCAAACACATATAGAAGCTCTGTTTATGCAGGAAACATGTGTTGTGTTTTAGACAGATTTAGCTATTTGTATGTTCATATTGTCCCACAATGTTGCAGAAGGATAAACTAGCTTTTAAGATTATTATGAAGAATAATTTACTTTTCTCGCTTTTGGAAGAAATGTTTAAACTTTGTTTCTGAAGTAGTGTGCTTTTTAAACCCAATGTATCACTATTAATCACTGCATCACACTTGTTCTTTATTTTCTCTCTCTCCCCCTCAGGCCTGCTTTGGGAGGTCTTCTCTCCTCCTCGTATCGACAACACCAGGAATCTCTGGCGGCCGAGCGAGAGCGCCGTCGGGGGGAGAGAGAGGAGCGGCTGCAGAGGATAGAGAGAGAGGAGAGGAACAAGCACAGGTGAGACGCCACAGGAATCTGGATTATCCAAATAGTCACCAATTTGGATTAGGGGTTCTTAAACTTTGGTAACTTAAAAGCCACTTCTCATTGTTTAAAAAAAAAACAGAGAACCACAAACAAACTAGAAAAATCATATCATGACAAAAAACAGTCAAACAAAAACTGGTCTGTACTGCTTAACCTCACACACCACTACTTCCAATCTGAAAATGAATGTATTTAGGGTCATATCATTTTTCCACAAGCTTTGGAGCTTTAACTGGCGAAGTGTTGTCTCCCATTCGAGGGAACGTTAGCTAGCTAACAGCGGGCAAAACTTCTTTATCTGAATTCTTTAGCAAAGTGGACCTTCCTGCCGTAGGGTATGACTATTATGTTCTAAATTGTTTTGTTTGTGTGTCTCTCACAGCCGTGACTATGTGGATAAAATGGAAGAGGCCAGGCTTGCGCGGGATGAGAGGTAAGTGTGTGCACTAAGTCAAAACAACACACACTCAACATCTGAACCCACGGGGAATATGTTTCAGCCTGTGGTTTGGGAAGCCCGGTAATAGAGTAATTGTTTTCAGGTTAAAAAGGTTGGGGGGTTGCTTAGCCGATTTCTCTTTGCTCTGTTTCTCCTTTCTTAAAGAGCAGCATTTTAACTCGAGCGCTCTGCCAAGGGCTTGTTTGTTTTGGCTTCATTCTGAGAGATTTGTTAAGCTCTTCACACAGAATACACATTCCGACACACACACTCGTTTTACTCAAGCACATGTACTTTTAAAGACACACAAAGAATTTTCATGAGGCTTATTGTTATGTTTCTATGCAAATGGGACTCACGAGAAACAAGAGCGTTACTCCAGAGGGTAAATGAGGTCACGCTTAGATTCAGGATCACACTAGAAGCACCCTTACATTATATAGTGGTTCAGTTTATCCCCCTACCTTTTTAACCTGACAACATCTGTGTACAGCACGAGTGTTATGATGGCCTAAATATCAGTCAACAGAGTCCAAAAAGAATTGTTCATGGCGTATATAATAGAGTTTACCGGAAACTGGTTTCCTTAAGCTTGTACAGTAGCAAACGCTTTAGGTTTGTTGAAGCCTCTAAACACTGTTTTTGTGTGCTAATTGGCTAGCTGCTGGTTACAAAGTGCTAATTAGCAAATGACACAGAACAGCTACTGTATAGTTAAAGTGCAGCTTATAAAACACTCACAGCAAACGGCTTATTAAAAAGTGATTTATGGAAGTAAATAGAATAACTACAATTTAACTAATTGTATATCTAAGTTAGGGCTGCACGATTTTGGGAAAAAATCTAATTGCGATTTTTCTGACAGATATTGCGATTGCGATATTTGTTTTTAAGCGACCCAATGGAAGTTTATTGTAAAATGCGGCCATAACTCCGGCTAGGAAGGTCGTACCAACGTGCTCCCGTCTCTAGCACCCCCGCAGCCCGAGTTACGAGTGAAAGAACTAAACTTACATGAAACTTCCATTGGGTTGCTTTAAAGTCAAGCTTCAGTTTAAGATTCACCCTGCAATAGAAACATGTGATGGAGCATTACTAACCTGACTCAGACAGTTTGTTTCACCAAACCATCTAGGAAAGCTCCATTGGAAGCCATTTGGAAAGGGCTGGCACTTTCAAAAATACTTGGCAGGTGATTGGATCAATCTGTCTATCACCTTCTATCATGGGCCACTTCTGATTGGTTAACAATGGCTGGTACATCTGGAGCACAGCACTTCTTGGTGTGGATGACTGACACACAAGAAGAAAAAAAAAAAAAAAAATTGTTACAAAAAATCGCAGGCTTTGCGATTTCATAATCGCATCATTTCAAATCGCGATTTCGATTTAAAATCGATTAATCGTTCAGCCCTAATCTAAGTGTGTTAAGAAATACAGCCAAGTGAAGCACACAACACACATTTGTCACTTGCTTTCTGTCACTCGTATTAACACACACACACACACACACACACACACACACACACACACACACACACACACACACACACACACACACACACACACACACACACACACACACACACACACACACACGTGTATTAGTATCCAGTTTCATCAGACCTGTGAAGTGGCTTGATGCTAATGAGCTCTGAACAGAAGCTCCACACATTCATGGTATGGTGGGAAAGAGGAGTGGTTAGAGAGAGGGAGAGGTGGAGAGAGAGAGTTTACAAAGTGCCCGAACTCTGTGTTTGGCTGCCAGGGTGGATGGTAAGGTTTAGTAGGGAAGGAAGGAGATGAAGAGAGAGGACAAGGACAAGGGAGGAGAGCCGATCGAGACCCATCTTGAACAGGTTTACTTTGATTCACTTCTGATGGTTGCCTAGCTGACATAAGCTTCTCCTTATCTCTTCCATTCTTCTCTGAGGTTGTTCTTCTTTCTTCAACACGCTTACAGTTTCTCTTATTTTTCAAACTCCCTCTGGTTGCACATTAGGACTGCAGGTGATAGCTGAACATTAAGCTAGACAGGATGGTGGATCTCTAGACTGCAGGAAATGAGTGGTGAACGCGTTGTGAGGAGAGGTGTAGGTGTGAGGTTACAGTGGCATGAGAGTTTTGAAAAGTAAAATAGAAGGTTGAAAGTTTGTGATGAATTTAAGTAAATGGGCAGAGTGGTAACTAGTTTAGTTTAGGGCATTTTGGCAAATACCAAAATTGAGTGCAGCCCTGCTGAGGAAGGGCAACACAGAAGGTGCATTGTCTCCTCCTGCCTCCTCTGATCCTCCCTCTCCTTCAGGTATAAGAACGTGGAGCGCCAGGCGGCGGAGGAGTACGAGAGAGAGCACGTCCGGGTGTCCAGGACTCGCCCCGACCTCGGCCTGACCTTCGAACCCGCGGAGGCCTGGCCCTCGTCATCGCGCAGCAGCACCCCGTCCTCTTTCGCCTCCCATGAGGACGCAGACGCTGACCTCGAAGCGGAGACCCCCGCCACCCCCTACACCGCCTCTGAAACTGGTAGGTGAACTGAGAATACTGTATGATAGAGTAGCTCTGAAATAATGTGTGTCTTTGTGGGGTTTTGATTAGACGACAAGATGTTAGACTGACATGTAATCAACTAAACATAGTATCGTGAAATGTAACATTGTCTCCTTGTTAGTTTAAAAGAGGTAATTACAATACTGTTGCTAAATGTATTAGGTTTTGTATTAAAATATACAAGAGTAGTCGGTATCACTTCAGCTACTAGGTTACAAAAGTTTCTCCTGCTAGTACAGTTAGCATTATTATTACTTTAAATACTCGTGAAAATATGTTTTAAAAAGGTTACTGTGAAACAAATCTGGTTTTAATTGCGTAATCGTGGTCGAACACGAAATAAAATCAATGTGTTGTTTTTTAGAAGTAATTGGATAAACTATTTCTGTCCGCTTGTAAAGTCAGGCAATCTAAATCCAGCGCGAGAGTTAACAATTACAAGTACTATGTAAAGGTGATAACTAGGGATGTAACGATACCAAAAACTGAAGGTACGATAATATCGTGATAAAAAGTCCACGGTACGATATTTATCGCGTTATTGAAAAATAAAGGGAAAAAAATGTGAATTTTTTTATTTATTTTTTATTTTTTTATTAAATAATACATCTGATTTGTACAGCATTTTAGTAGGATAGTAGTATTTTAAAGTGTCAACAATATAATAATCAGACCCTGCAATAGAATAAATCAAGTTTCACTTTAGTTTTTCAACTAACTCAACTAACTCACTAACTCACTCACTCAGCATCATCAAGGTTATCTTTTAGGAATATGAGCATGTCCACATTTCCAGGTAGAAGCTGGGATGTTTGGGCGTTTACAATATCCCCTGCTGTGGAAAAAACTCTCTTGCTTTGTACTGATGTTGGTGGGACAGAGAGATATGCTTTGGGCAGTGGGTGACAGCAGTGGGTCAAACTGTGCATTGTCTCTCCACCACTTCAAAAACAATACAGTTTTTGCCAAGAAGGTGAGGCTTATTGACAAGGCGAGATACAAATATACTGTTGGTACTTGTCAATGTCTCTAGGTATGTACATGTAGCCCTGTAAATACCATGTCCTTTTGTTATTATCTGTTGTTTTATGTTCATGTTGTAACCTACTTGCTGCCATGTTGACAGGTCTCCCTTGAAAAGGAGATCGATGATCTCAATGGGACCATCTGGTTAAATAAAGGTTTTTTAAAAACAAATTATTTTAAAAAGAAAATTATTTTTTTTAAATTACGTCGGTAGATTTTGTTCAGTCTCACGACGGTATTGAGACATTTATTTACCGTCGATATTCGACACATCGTTACATCCCTAGTGGTTATGCAAAA